TATCGGTATCGGTACTCTGTATCGGCAAGTACCAAAAATAAAAGTATCGGTATCGGGCGAGTACTGGAAAAAGTGGTATCGGTGCATCCCTAGAGCAAACTCTCCCCTGTGCAGAGGATCTCTTTTCTCGGTATGGAAATAGACTCGGTCGCCATGTTCGCGCAGCTTACGAGCAAGCGCGCACAGTCACTGCTGAATTGCCTGAGTCAATTCAAAGGCAAGAGAGTGGTTCCACTGAAACAATTTCAGAGGCTCCTGGGGCATATGGCATCCGCAGTGGCGGTCATACCGCTCGGGTTGCTTCATATGAGACCGCTTCAGCACTGGCTTCACAGCCAAGTCCCGAGATGGGCATGGCAACAGGGTACGCTCCGAGTGACCATCACTCCGGCCTGCTGCCGAACCTTCACCCCGTGGTTGGACCTCACGTTTCTACGGGCTGGTGTTCCCCTAGAACCAGTGTCCAGGCATGCTGTTGTGTCAACAGATGCCTCTGCCACGGGCTGGGGTGCCATGTGCAACGGACATGCTGCGTCAGGCTCCTGGACGGGACCCGACTTCAGTGGCATGTCAATTGACTCGAGTTGCTAGCAGTATGGCTTGCTCTGCACCGCTTCAAGGCCCTGCAGAAGGACAAGCACGTTCTGGTCCGTACGGACAACACTGCGACCATAGCGTACATCAACCGTCAGGGCGGTCTACGCTCCTGTCGCATGTCGCAACTCGCTCGCCATCTCCTCTTGTGGAGTCAGAAGCATCTGAGGTCGCTTCGTGCCATTCACATCCCGGGCAGGCTCAATCATGCAGCCAACGAGCTCTCAGGACAGCAGTCTCGCCCCAGGGAATAGAGACTCCATCCCCAGTCGGTTCAGCTGATTTGGGAACGCTTTGGAGACGCTCAGGTAGACCTGTTTGCTTCTCCAGACAATTCCCACTGCCAGTTGTTTTACTCCCTGATCGAGGGCACCCTTGGCACGGACGGTCTAGCACTCAGCTGGCAGCAGGGCTTGCGCATCGGTTCAGCTGATTTGGGAACGCTTTGGAGACGCTCAGGTAGAGCTGTTTGCCTTTCCAGAGCCCACTTTCGCACTGCCAGTTGTTTTACTCCCTGACCGAGGGTACCCTTGGCACGGACTCTGGCACACAGCTGGTCACAGGGCTTGCGCAAGTATGCGTTTCCCCCAGTGAGCCTTCTTGCACAGCCGTTGTGCAGAATCAGGGAAGACGAGGAGCAGGTCCTCGTGGTTGCGCCTCATTGGCCCAGCCGGACCTGGTTCTCCGAACTTGTACTCCTCACGACAGCCCCTCCCTGGCCAATCCCTCTGAGGAAGGACCTTCTTTCTCAGAGATGGGACACCCTCTGGCACCTGCGTCCCGATCTTTGGAACCTACATGTGTGGGTTCTGGACGGGTCATGGAAGGTTTAGGTACCTTGCCACCTCAGGTGGTAGCTACCATCACTTCGGCTAGGTCCTCATCTACCAGACACGCCTATGCTCTGAAGTGGAACCTCTTCATCACTTCTCATTCTTCACGTCGAGAAGACCCCTGGAAATGCCCGATCGGGTCAGTGCTTTCTTTTCTTCTGGAAGGGTTGGAACGAAGGCTGTCTCCTTCCACCCTGAAGGTCTATGTGGCTGCCATTGCGGCTCACCACGATCCTGTTGATGGTAAGTTCCTTGGGAAATATGACCTGATCATCAGGTTCCTGAGAGGGGCCATGAGGCTCAATCCGCCTCGCCCTCAACAAGTTCCCTCTTGGGATCTCGCAGTTGTTTTATCCGCACTGCAGAGAGCTCCGTTCGAACCCCTGCTTTCAGTGGAGCTAAAATTCTTATAATTGAAAACTGCGCTCCTGACGGCTTTGGCTTCGGTTAAGAGGGTCGGGGACTTGCAGGCATTTTCAGTTGACGAAGCATGCCTGGAATTCAGGCCGGCCAACTCTCACGTTATCTTGAGACCCCGGCCTGGATATGTGCCCAAAGTTCCTACCACTCCTTTTAGAGATCAGGTGGTGAACTTGCAAGTGCTGCCCCCGGAGGAGGCAGACCCAGCCCTGGCACTGCTCTGTCCAGTACGTGCGCTCCGCACTTACATAGACAAAACTCAGTGCTTCAGGACCTCAGACCAGCTCTTTGTCTGTTACGGAGGCCAGCAGAAGGGAAAGGATGTCTCCAAGCAGAGGCTATCCCACTGGATAGTGGATGCTATTGTCTTGGCTTATCAGGCTCAAGACCTGCCATGCCCCCTAGGGGTGAGAGCTCACTCAACTAGGAGTGTGGCTTCCTCCTGGGCGCTGGCGCATGGTGCCTCGCTAACAGACATCTGTAAAGCTGCGGGCTGGGCAACACCTTTTGCGAGATTCTATAATCTCCATGCAGAGCCCGTGTCCTCCCGTATACTTGCCCCTACGGGCCAGTAAACAGGACCTGCTCAGTGTCAATTCGCTTGCTGCGCCATTCCACTCCACATACTGGATGCGTGCGCTATTCTCCTCAGGTGAGTTCCACAGTTCAGAACCCTGGGTTCCTCCAGCACTGTTGGTGTCGAGCATTGCGTGCATGCCCTGTCGGTCAGCCCCTGTGTTAGACTAGGTGCCTCCATGTGTTGTGGTTCCCCTCTTGGGCAATCCCACGTGTGTATTTCCACAGTAAGTCTCTCTCGGCAGCATGTGTCTCTCCCTTGGCAAGCCACCCTTGCCATCTCTGAAATTGAAACATATCCACCCTGCGGGCTGGGTACCTCAGATATTCATATGTATCACTGCTACGCTGGTTAATATGTGCTTTGTAAGACCTCCTACGAGCAGGCAGCCTGTTAGTATACTTCCAGCTGGAATATGCTACCCAGTGTGTTCGGTGTAAGGTATAGCCCTTTGCTCGTGCTGGCTTCACGACAGGGTGGTATCACTTACGCAGGTCACTGGAAGTCAGCCATTGTGGCGTTTTGGAAGGGACCCCATTCATCAGTCTGTTCTGACGTAACGTCGAATGTGACCGACTGAAAGTGAACATCTAGGTTACGTATGTAACCCTCGTTCCCTGAAGGAGGGAACGGAGACGTTACGTCCCTTTGCCACAATTGCTGTTCCGCTGAACGGCTGGGTCACATGGCTCGGCTCCTCAGCGAAGACTTGAATGTGAATTCCTCGTGCTGCTCCTTATATACCCACACAGCGGTGCGGAGCTTGCGATGCAAATTCCGCAGACCAAGGTACTCAGCGTACCATTGGCTCGTTCTGTTACCACTCGAAGGTGATTGGGCTCTCGGGCGAGAACGAGGGTTACATACGTAACCTAGACGTTTTTTTTTTTTGTCCCAATAAGGTGGCATCCATTTAATAATTTGAATTAAAATTATAATTTATACTCAATACGTTATTATTGCATACTGTTTTATAATCTAGCGTAGCGTCAGTTCTGGCAGGTCACGTTAGTCAAGCTCGCATCAGCTGACTCTCAGCTGATCCCCATCAACCTATGGGAATACGACACCTATCTAAGTATTCATATATAAGGTCCCACAGTAGTAACAGCAGTTTTGGAATTGCTCGATAGCTAATTACCCTCCTCCATCCCCAACTCCTCCTCTGTCAGTCAGGATTCAGCCTTCTGATTCTCCTTTGAATCAGACTAATTCTAAAATGTGTACATAACATTATTTAACTTTAACGATATCTGCAATACATTTATGTTGGGTCTGTTCTGTTTACCCTTGGGGGGGGTTATCGCTGCTCTCCCTGCTCTCATCCATGCTAGGCTGCATGGATGCGCAGGGAGTTCTTGCCCAGAACGGAACCATACCGCCAATCCAAACTGTATGCTAATTGTCAATCATCTTTGACGATAATGGTCTTGACAGAAATGTACTATAATACTGACATGCAGATAATTGCCACTATTTTCAATAAGTATTATAAATTGCAAAAATCCTGCTATTTTGCATAGTGTAAATAGAATCTATTGCTATCTGCACTTAGTGTAAATAGCATATTGTTAAAAATCCTGCGATTTTCACTTAGTGTAAATAGAATCCATCACTATTTGCACTTAGTGCAAATAGCCGCTGCCTTTTAATATTCATTTTATCCTATTTAATTATTTATTTATGTATGTAGATTGACATGAGATTTTTCATTCATTTTGAGTGATTCAATAATAAGTTACAAGCACTACATGTTAATCATTTAACTTGACAGGAGATCACTCGTGCTAACAAGGGGTGGGCGTTGGACCGTATGGTTCTGTGTAATGAAGTTACAAAATGGATGAAGGATGACATCACACAGCCTCCTGCAGAGGGGGTGTATGTTTACGGTCTCTATCTGGAAGGGGCTGGCTGGGACCGGAGGAACTGCAGGCTCATTGATTCCAAACCCAAAGTACTGTTTGAGATGATGCCTGTGGTCAGGATGTACGCAGAGAATAATTTCCTGCTCTCATCCATGCTAGGCTGCATAGATGCGCAGGGAGTCCTTGCCCAGAACGGAACCATACCGGCAATCCAAACTGTATGCTAATTGTCAATCATCTTTGACGATAATGGTCTTGACAGAAATGTACTATAATACTGACATGCAGATAATTGCCACTATTTTCAATAAGTATTATAAATTGCAAAAATCCTGCTATTTTGCATAGTGTAAATAGAATCTATTGCTATCTGCACTTAGTGTAAATAGCATATTGTTAAAAATCCTGCGATTTTCACTTAGTGTAAATCTATCTGCCCTTAGTGTAAATAGCATATTGTTAAAAATCCTGCGATTTTCACTTAGTGTAAATAGAATCCATCACTATTTGCACTTAGTGCAAATAGCCGCTGCCTTTTAATATTCATTTTATCCTATTTAATTATTTATTTATGTATGTAGATTGACATGAGATTTTTCATTCATTTTGAGTGATTCAATAATAAGTTACAAGCACTACATGTTAATCATTTAACTTGACAGGAGATCACTCGTGCTAACAAGGGGTGGGCGTTGGACCGTATGGTTCTGTGTAATGAAGTTACAAAATGGATGAAGGATGACATCACACAGCCTCCTGCAGAGGGGGTGTATGTTTACGGTCTCTATCTGGAAGGGGCTGGCTGGGACCGGAGGAACTGCAGGCTCATTGATTCCAAACCCAAAGTACTGTTTGAGATGATGCCTGTGGTCAGGATGTACGCAGAGAATAATGGTATTTTTTTTTTCTATTTTCATTTTTTGCTGATTTTATGCACCTGATAGTAATCATTGTAGCTGATACAACCAAGACACATGAATTAAAAGGAGGATTTCCATATGCCATACAGAGTATATTTTATTTCTTTTTAGGTAATGTAACGTTCTCTACTAATATTGGCACCCTTGGTAAATATGAAGAGAAGTAAAGGTGAATATTTGTAAATGCTGTTTATCTAAGTTTCATTACAAAAACCTAACTTTGAATTAAAGTAAATTATTGAAAATAAATAAATAAATAAATCCAAAACATAGAACACTGTACTTAACCCTGGGCTATCATCATTCTAAACCCGCTTTTAACCCCGGGTAAAGGTACATTTCACACATGGAAACTTTGGAAGTTATGGAAGCATATAGGTAGCGAAATTCAATTTAAAATGCAATTTGCTTTTAGACAAACAAACAAAACAGGTTTAAACCAAAAACCATAATTTTGGATTAGACACAAAGACCATTAGACCAAATACATTTTTTCATGGCTTTGATCATATTTACTAAGTGTGCCAATATTTGGGCACTGTGTGTTAATTTCCAGTGAGTGAACTGTTATTTTAGCCTAAATTAATGTGATTTTTTTAGTAAAAGCATGCAAAACCTAATTGCTAACTTACTGTATCTTTCCTAAGGTGTCAAAGATCCTCGCTTGTACTCATGTCCAATATATAAAAAGCCTGTTCGAACAGACCTGAACTACATCGCAGCTGTTGACCTGAGAACCAGTCACCCCCCAGAATACTGGATCCTGAGAGGAGTGGCCCTCCTGTGTGACGTCAAATAATAGTCTTTTAAAATAATTGTATACAAATGTAGATGTATTTCTTTTAAATTGAATTTCGCTACCTATATGCTTCCATAGGAAGTGGGGTTAGCACTGCTTTTTATCCAGGGTTATGAAACCCTGCTTTTGCTTTTGCAGTGTTAACCCTGCATTGTGGTGCCAAATTTGTACATTGCGAAATGATGTAGAATGTTACAGCTAGATGCTTAGCAACAGACAACTAATTATATGCCTTATGCTTTTGACAGTCCCAGAAACACTGTGCATTGAATAAACGCTTTAGCATTTGAGGGGAAATGGTGTCAAATGGTGACGGAAAATGTCTTATTCTTACCTTTACAGTCCACCGAAAAGTTCAAAAGTTACAGTCTGCAATAGATAATATGAGGATGTGCAATGCTAGCGCCGTTATGTAAACTGCTTGCGTGCTGTGTTCATCAAATCAATGACACAAGCACTGCAAGTATGCAGATAAGCTTAAACCAGGGTTTAGGACTGTACAGTGTGAAACCCTGAATGTACAGTGTGAAACTGTACCCAGAATTGTTTCTTAACTCCAGGTAAATTATGCGAAACATGAATAAAGATTTTCTGTTATGTACTAAAATAATTAACACTTATAAACATAATAAACACTAGCCAGTATGTGTTCTGCACATCAATGCTCTGGTGTCAATCAAAATTACTATTTAAACAATATATATATA